TCGAACAACGGTTCAGGTCAAAGAGGGATCTTGTTTTGGGTCATTGAAAATTGGAGAATCTGGAATTTCAGAAAATATGCTTTCAAAAAAATGAATGTCAAATAGTAAGGTGGTCTAAGTTTGAAGATTCTAAAGTCGATAAGAATACGTCGAATTCATAGAAAATTAGCGAAAAAGAGTAGAGCTTCAATGGCAGGGTCAAGGGGTTTCACCTGACTCAAGAAGTGCGGAACGAACTTTTTCAACATTTTCGGGTTTTGAAGTTCTTTTGTTGAGTTTTGGTATTTTGGAAAATTTCGAATTTTTTTTATTGAATATGGGGATTCTGGGGAATTCCAAATTTTCTATCGAATGTCAAAATTATTTCCTCAAATAGAACAAATGAGTTAACTGATGAAATACTGCTGATATTATGATAAGCAATTAATTAGTTGACAACATTTTGATATCTTTTACAGGAATCGAGATAATTGAGTTCAAACTTAACGGTTTGGATTGACATCAATTAGACAATATACGGTATTTAAAACTTCTGATTTTTGATGGAATTATTGGAACTTTTCCAAAATTTTGACATCCACTAAAAACATCAAGAACCATCCAAAGTTCAAAACTGAACAAAATAATTAGGAAATCCTAAAATGTCGAAAAAGTTCATTCCGCACCCCTTAAAGGAGGCGAGACAGCAAAAATTTCGGGGGCAGTTCGGGAGCCGAAATCGCGCCGCGCTTATGTAGACCATCGGTCGTCAGGCGCCTCGCGCCCCCGTAGCTCAGCCAGTAGCGGCGCTGTACCCCTGAGCTGCCTGTCATGAGTTCAACCCCTCATGGGGGTTCTCTATGCAAAAAAACAGGAAAACTTTTTTTTTGGTGTCTGGCCTCCTTTAAGACCAAGTTTAGACTGTCAATGAAGCTTTACTCTTTTTTTTTCCTAATTTTCTGAAGTTTTCTATTAAACTCAAATTTCGGAATATTCCGAAAAAAATGTTTGGAATGGCGAAGTTCTAGAAAATCCCAAATGTTTTTATTGTACTTCAGGATTTTTTGAAATCAACTTTTTTCCAGTTTTTGTCAGGTGATAATTTGCTTCTTCATTTTCCTGCCCCAAAAACTTTTGAAAAACAAATTATTCTAATTTCGTTTAAAAATGAAACATCTCAAAGATTTATAGTTCTTGGGATTTCTCTAAAGTCTTCTACAGTAACCCTCTCTAACAATACAGAAAATTTGAAATTCGTAGCATTCCAGAAAAAGTGAAAAGTAATAACCATTGTAAAAATAGAAGAAGAAAAAAAAAGATAATAGGCTTTTGTACCACAAGACCAGTCAATTAGTTAATCATCACCATAAGACGTAGTGAGTGACAAAAGAAGACAAAAAGTTCAAGAAACCGAAAGAAGGCGTTAATTGGGGAATCTTCCTGACGACGGTCAGTCTGTATTTCTGTTTGAAAGTTGGCAGTCTCAAGTTGGAAATAATTGGAAATGGGAAGATGGTAATTGGACTCGTGATCTTGGGAAACTGGTAAAAACAGAGAGAGAGAGAGAGGAGAAAACCTGGACCAAAAACTAGAAATCTAGTACAAATTTGAAATTCAAAAACTGACAAAAAATTTGCAGCCAAGATACCTGAAAACTAGAGATCTTAAAAATTCAAACTTGAATTCTTTCGAAATCTTCAGTTTTGACTTTGGTAAAATTCAATAAAATTTCACTGTTGACAAGAGGTGTAGGCGAAAGATTGAACACACTCGAATCGAGATGGAAACATGGGTTAGAAGCTCAAACAAAGATGATGTCAGGGATAGTGACGTGGCAAAAGGATTACTGTAGGAGGAGGAGCTGGCGTGCCTTTGGCGCGTCTCGTTCTGGCATATAGTTAGGAGGGGAACACAATTTGGGGCCAAAATCCACAATTCGGGAGTACAAAATTGGAATTTGTCTCTATTTTTGAATTTTTGAAAAATAGCTTGATGGTTTTTCAAAAAGTATTGAAATACTCTTCGTGAAATCGTTCTACCGTATTTGCTCTACATATTACATAGAAGCCCATCCTTTTGCACTTCGAGCTCAATTATCTCGGTTCCTATGAGAGATATTAAAAAGTTATCAACTGATAAAATGTCGATTATAATAGCAACAATATTTAACCAGTAAACAGATTTTCAATATCTCTGATAGGAACCGAAATAAATCAGTTCAAAGTTCAAAAGGCTCCGCTTGCCAGCTGAGCTCCGTCTACCGACCATGTAATTTTGACCCCCATTTATCTTGGTTTCTGTGAATGATATTAAAAAATTGGCAACTGCAAAAACGTTTTAGATATTACGGTAAACATTATGTTAGTTGATCACATTTTATATCTTTCATAGGAACTGAGATAAATTGGTTCAAATTTGAGAAGGCACAGCTTGCCAGCTGAGCTCCGGTTGCAGAGTTTGTAACTTTGACCCAATTTATATCCGTTCCTATGAGAGATATTAAAAATGCTAAACTGATAAAGTGTTTATCATAATATCACCAATATTTTATCAGCTGATAGATTTCTAATATCTTTCATGGGACTCGAGATAATTGAGCTTAAGGTGTAAGTATATGGTGGGCTTCTATTAGCGAAAAGACTCTAAATAGGAATCGAGAATTTCAAAACATTTACAGAAACTTTTATGAAACTTCAGGCGTTTCAGACAAACGCCACTGAAAAATACTGTATTTTGGTCATCAGCTGGTTTTGAAAGTTTTTTGAGGTGTCTTTTTTAGGTTCACGTGATTTCGTGAAGCTCTCAAAAATCATATGTCAATGTTGAAGAAGAGGGGCACCACCCCGATAAGCAAACGAACTTGGGTTTCGAAATAACAGTTTTCTGATAATACAACCTCAGAATATGAAGTTGAGAAATTTCGAAACTTTTTGAATTTCTGGGTGGTGAAATATATCAAAAACTCCAGGTAAAAGTTCAGGTACAAACAAGAAAGTGCATTATTCAAAAAAAAAAGGGAAGTTAAAACCAAAAAGTAGAAGAACTGTATGAGGAAGAAGAAGAAAAATAAGAAGGAGAAGCCAGGCGTGAATAATTAGAAAAAGAAAGAGAGAGGGAGGAACGAGAAGAGACCCAGACAGTCAGAGATACGGTTTAGCAACAGGCGCCCTGTGATGATAGTCAGGGGGGAGGAAAAGGTACATTTTGTATGATGAGTGAAAAGGAAACAGAGGAAAATTGAGAGAGAGTGCGAGGAGCAAAAAACGGACACATTTGTGTTTGCTTCTTCTTTTTTTCTTCGTTTTTTTGGAACGATAATGGGAGTTGGCCAGACGGGAAGGAGAGAAAGAGAGAGGCTCGCGCGGGAGGATCCGAGGCAAACTTTTGATATTTAAAGGATACTTTTAGGACACTTTTAGCATAACTCAGCTGTTCATCAGATGGGCTTTAGTTAATGGAGTTTAGTTATTGCAATCTTTTTCATACGAAAGTCATTTTTTAGGCTAATGTATGTAAATGGGAAAGAAGCCAACCCCATTTGAGCCCATATAACTCAACTTCTGTAAAAGATATCAAAAGGTGGTCAACTGATAAAATATTTCTGACATTGTGGCAAGCAATTTATTAGTTGACAACTTTTTTGTATCTTTTATAGAAACCGAGATAAATTTGCTCAAAGTTGACAGTTGAGGAGGTCATAGAGTGCTTACTGTAATTGGGAGAATAGGACTTTGTGTTTTTAACTATTTTTTTCAGAATAAATTTTCAGATTTTTTCAGAACTAGCTTTAAAAATTCAAGGTCAAATTGAAATTTCTTGCTGATTTTTTAGTTTTTTTTGTTTTTCTTCTGAATATTTACCCTAAACACCAAACATACCGTAACCACTCAAATAGACTGCAGCAAGCTGTCAACTTTGAGTCCCTATATCTCGTTCCCTGTAAAAGATATCAAAAAGTGGTTAACTGACAAAATGTTTATAATAATATCAAAACAATTTTGTCAATTGACAACTTTTTGATATCTCTGACAGGAACTGAGGAAAATTGGCTCAAAGTCTTAACTTTTTAGGTCGGCAACAGACATTCTGTCTTTTTAAATCTTCTGTCTTTTTTAATATATCTCATCTCTTGTAGTAGGTATCAAAAAATGGTCAACTGACAAAAAACTTGTGATAATATGATAAGCAATTTGTCAGTTGCTCACTTTTTCATATCTTTTACAGAAATCGGGATAAATCGAGCTCAATGTTGATAGTAGGAGACATTCAAATAGAGATCTTACGGTATACATTTACTTGTCCTACTGTCCTACTGTCCTACTTGTCCTACTTCTATTTTTTTACTTCTTCTTTTTTTTTAATCTTGAAAAAAACTGGCATCTTCTCAAAAAATTATGATCTTTTGTACTTGCAATAAACTAGGTGAACAGCTGAAAAAAAAATTAAAAGTTATCAAGAATTAATCTGCTTATACATTTTTGATATAATCCTATTAGAGAGCTACACTGTTCAATTCCAAAACTATTGCATCAGGTGATGATAGAAAACTAAAACTTTCAAAAAGTTGAAGAGAAAGTCAAACTACAGTAATCTAAACCTCATTAGAGCAATTTTGCATACGGCGCGCGGGATTATAAAAGAAATAGCAATTCGCCGGTAAATCAAAACACAGTTGAAATATCCGCCGTTCTCCTCTCCGGAAGAATGGGCGGTATTAATGGACCGGATGGATGAGTTGGGCGCCCAATTGGCGCAGATCCTTGTCCTTGTTCCTCTCGGGTAAAGACACCCCCGTTCCCTTTTTTCTTTTCGGCGCCAACCATCTGTTCCTTTTTTATGACTTTTCGAATTCGAAAAAATGCGAAATCGCTTTTTTATTTTTTCACATCATCACAGTTAGAGAGTTGATACCCATGGTTTGGAATACATAATGAAAAAGTGAAGAGTACACAACCAATAAAGACGGACAGAAAAGAAAAACCGACGAAAATCAAATATTAGCGAGTAATTTATACAATTTGTTAAAGGAGTTGAATGTCACGACCAGTGCAGTTTCTACAGCATGAAATGGTTAGGTTCGAGTACTTTGCTGTTATCGGACGAACTCTTTCTTCGCATGGAGAACGATGGAATAGGGGTTGGAGGTCGAGTTGAACAAAGTCGCGGATCTCTTCGGAGGTGACGCTGGAATGTGGAAATTTGATATTATTTGGAGCTATATTTTTTAGGATTTAATACCGTTAAATTACAAAAAAAAACTGCGGTACTTTCAAAAAATCCCATAAACACTGTAATATAGTGCCACCCAAACTATCAACTTTGAGTCAATTTATCTCGGTTCTTGTAAAAGATATGAAAAAGTGGTAAACTAACAAAATATTTATCATAATATTATAAATATTTTTTCAGTTTACCACTTTTTGATATCTCTTTCAGTAACCGAGATAAATTGGGCCCAAGTTAGCAGCCGGTCGGCAGCAGGTCGGCAGCCGGCCAGCGCCGTCTTTCAACTTTGTCTTTCAACTCTAACATCTCCCATAGCAGATACATTTTGTGGTCATTCTATTTGAGTGCTTACAGTATGAATCTTTCAGGAACTAAAAAACAGAACCAAAATTTGAAACCCTTCAAAAGTGATTAATAGTGATTTCAGAATTTAACAATCCTGGAGTTTCAGAATTTGTCCGAATTTTCAGATTTCTGTTTCTTTTTTAAATTTTTTTAATTTTCGAGTTACCGTATTTTTTTTGGAACTTTAAAATTCAGAAATTATAAAATTGCTAATTTTCCGGAATTTTCAGTTTTCTGATTTTCCAAAATTCCGTATTTTCGATTTGAAAAATTTTAAAATTTGGGAACTTCGGAATTTCTGAAATTTCGAGCTTTCAAATTTTTTTCAGATTTTTCGAATACTCAAATTTGAGGATTTCTGAGTTTTGGATTTTTGGTTTTCAGATATTTTGAACTTCCCAATTTCTGAGTTTCTGGAATTCCCGAATTCTCAATTTTTGAAATTTGAGAACTTCTGAATTTCGAAATTATCGAATTTCCGAGTTTCCGTATTTCCAAAGTTGTGAACTTTAGATTTTTAGAATTCCGGAATTTGTGAACTTCAGTGTTTCAGAGTTTGAGAAATTTTCCTTCGTCACACTTTCATGGCTTATCTGTACCAAATCATAACCTCTAGTAAAATTAAATTCGATTTTTTTGGTTTATCTGGAATTTTCAGAAGTTTCGAGTATTTTTTAATATTTTCAGGAATCCAAATCCAATTTTTAAAAAATAGCTGCTAAAAACCGTCCAACTTCACAACCCATATAAACACACTTTTTAGTCTTGACAGCTTCTTGAACTCCAACTAGTGTCTTCAACAAGTATTCATTTTTGGAAGTCAGTTCATCACATCGAATGGATTGTGCCAAAAATTTACATTTCCAAACGTCTCGATCTATTCGTAGCCGATCGGATTCTTCGTCTTCTACCATTAGCTAAAAATTGATTTTTTTAGAAAAAATTATCGGAATCTTTTTTTTTTAAAGTGAGGTTCCAAATCAAAACCCTCACCTTTCCCATATACTCATCCACTCGATAAGCCAATCGAACTTTATCCTCAGTCAATGCCTCAACCTGTCCTTGTAGCTCATCACTCAACGTGGCAATCATCAACCTCTTCAGTTCAGAATTCATCTTTTGTTCTAGATTCAATTCTTTCCTCAACGTCTCCAACTCCTTCTCCAACTCGGTCTCCCTCTCTGATGACGTCGTTTGGGGTTCCATACTTTTTCTCTGCCGTCTCTCGTCTCTCAATTCCTTTCTCTCCATCATCACCATATTGTTGTTTTGTTCTGATTTCGAGTTCATTGCATATGCAATCAATTCCGGAAGCTTCTCTGGACACACATCTCCTTTTCTGAATATAGAAGGGTAGGGGATTTCGATTTTTTGTGTTTTTTACAAGGAAATCTAGTCAGATTCTGTTTGGATTAAAAGTCTATACAAAAACCAAAGATTTAAAAATAAATTTTTCAGATGACGTCATTTTCTTTTTCTCTGAAAATTGAACTTTTCAGAAGATTTCCAATTCATATACCTTAGAACCTGTAATAGGAGGGCTCCTAACTTTGAGCCAATTTTTCTCGGTTGTTGTCGAAGATATGAAAAAGTTATCAACAGGTAGATTGTTCATCATAATGTAAGAAGTGTTTTATCAGTTGACACCTTTTTGATATCCTGCATAGGAATTGAGATAATTGGGCTTAAAGTTGCCTAGTCGGCGGTTGCTAGCCGAGCTATGCGGTCGGCTGCCGACCACTTAGCTTTGAACTGAACTATCTCGGTTCTTTTGAAAGATATAAAAAATGTGTCCACTGATGAAATGTTGGTGATATTACGATAAACAATTTATCAGTTGGCAACTTATTTATATCTTCAACAGGAACCGAGAAAAATGGGCATGAAATTAAAAGTTGGGGCCATTATATTACAGGCTTTATGGTTAAAAAAACCAAAAAAGGTCTCAACAAAATTGTAAAATTACATCATTTTATTCTCTGGAAAAGTCGGACTTTCCAGAAGATTTACAATTCAATGTTTTTAATTCTTTCCTTATACTCGAAAAATGAATTTTAAATTGAAAAATCTTACTTATTCGGTGCAACTGCGGCTTTATACGGTTCCCATGGAACAATCCGTGTCTTTTTCTTCTTTCCATTACTATCCGGACTTGAACTTTCTGATGATTTTCGGTCCTCGGCTTCTTCTGATTTTTTATTATTGGTAAAGTGAACCTCATAGCTTTCTTCTGTAGCCAATGATAAGTCATGAGCATGGTATAAATCTAACAGGTCCATTTATTATTTAGTACATCAATGAATATGGAGAAAAAAGAAAGGGAAAAGGAGGTCGAGTCAATAAAAGGAAGGACTGGTGGCCGGGTAAAAGGAAGAAGACCGGCGCCTTCTCGGCCACCGACCTTCTTCTCTTATCGCAAAGAAAATAAGAAGAAGAAGAAGAAAAAGAAAATTTGACATATTTATTTTGAATGAGAAAACAGTTCTTTTTTGAGTTGATCATTTTGATTGAGCAGTTCGTTCATCTTCGACCAATTCAGATCCGTAACGCAAAACGAAAGCCTGAAAAAAAAGAAATAAAAATACTTATTGATTTTTCTATTCACCTTCACTTGTTCAGCCAGATTCTGCGCCGCAACGTCTACAGCGACATTCTTTGGAGCTTTCAATGCCAACTTGATTTCGCTGAAAACAGTGAACGACCTCAAAAACCAAAAATCCAAATATCTTACTATTGTCCCTGCTCCTTAACCTTATTTAGTGTCATCTGTGAAGACGTCGGCGCGGGTGGAACTTTTACGTTTTGCTTCACCGCCAACAATGATCCTCGATTCTTTCTCTCCTTTTTCGACCCGCTATTCGGTGCAAAACCGCCCGTCTCACACAACTTCTGAAGTGCTCCATGTCGTCTCCACGGGTTATTCGTGCTTCTCGAGCCTTGCTTTTTGAACGTCGGAAGTTCTCCGTTTTGAATGAATTCTGTGACTTGTTGAGTCGATGCGAGACGAAGAGTTTTGTAGGGTAGTTTACGATTTGTTGACGGAGGCGCTGATGATTCGGTGTAACTTTTATGAAGAAGAACCACGGAAGACGATGAGCTGGCTGCCGATTGAACGTGCTTCAAAGAGCGAGGACCGAGATTTGAGAGCTGGAAAAACAATTTAAAAAAGATGAAAAACAATTTCACAGTAGGCAGGAATTGAACTTGGGATGTGATCTTGGGAGGCAAAAGCGCAACCGGTTGCGCCACACGCACCATTCAGCTATTGGGTGTTCAACGCCTACATAAAGTCGCTCCTACCTGCGAACACAACGAATGAACATCATCCGTGGAAGAACGAGTTCGACTATGATCATCGACACGAGCCAATCGTTTACCAGAAAGATCTAATGGTCTGAACAAAACTCTGTTATTTTTATTGACAGTTTTCTCTTACTGCATGAATGGTTGAATGTTTGAATTTGAGTAAAAAATAAAATGGTTTTATTCATTAGCTTGACTGAAACATTGAATGAAAAAAGCAATGAACCTCACGGATTTAAAGGGGGGATACGAATAGTATTTGATACAGGAATCAAATGAAATCACAGCAAACGCATGATAAGAAGGGGGGGGGGGATACAGTACTATTCAATTGTTAAATACAGAAAAGTTCTCAAAGACTGGGGACTGAGGATCACAGTTTTCCGATTCATTGATGCTGGATGCACTGAATGTGTAATCACTGGGAAGACGACCCGTGTACGAGTTAGACACACGATTCTTAATTCGTTCCATCGCGTTTCGTTTCTCCACTGCAACTCGTTGAGTCTCTTTGAAACAGTCGTCAATCTTTCGGTGCTTGGCTAGAGCATCTTTTTGTGCGTTGTTGATAAGAGCCATCTTTTCACTGTGAGCATTTTTGGCAGCGAGAAGCTCTTGTCTCTGGAAAATATTTCATTTTTTGAATAATTGAAATAATAATTTGAAAAAACCTTATTCTCAATGTCTCTCGACACATCCGGCTGACTTGTTCCTAGTGCAGCAATCTGTCTGAAAATTGAAATTTCAGCTATTGTTTCCCACTTTTTTTCAATAAAATTACCTAGCGATTTCGTCGATATTTTTGTACAATTTCTCACTTCGCTGCAAATGCTCTTTTCTCAGCTGCTCGTGCATCTCGGTTTGCTCGATCATCCGCTTCTCGGAGCTCGTTGTCTTATCAGCAGCGAACGCCAACTGCTCTTGTATCTCGTTCAATTTTCGGAGCTTCTCCTCAACTTCGTCCATCATATCGAGAATGTCCTCACGGACTTCTGACCATGCCTGAATCCTCTGATTTATCAACGGAACATTCTTCTCGGCATTCGCACAGATGTTGCGAGCTTCGAGTTTTGATTTGAGAGTCTGCCTGGAAACAACCAACGACTCCTTTAGTTCTTCGATTTGCTTCTTTCTATTTGCCATTTCTTGTTTCAACTCTTCTGGTGATGCCAACACTTCTTCTGTCAGATGTTCGACTGTTTTCTTCGCTGTCATTATTTCTCTTTCTATCTCTTCTATTTGCTGAATCAATTCTGTTTTCTGCTTCTCAATATCTTCTGTTCTCTCCACAACATCTGTGTACTGATTGACAACGCCAGCCAATTCACTTTTACATTTACTATGCTCGTTCATCAGCTCGTTCTCTCGACGCTTCCGCAAACTTTGTTTCGAAATCAAGTCATTTTTGCGTTTCTCCGCCTGAATGATCTCATCCTGCATGCGCTCCATCTCTTGCTTCTGCTCGCTGAATTCGTCACTGATTTCGTTGAACATTGGAGCAGACATCTCGTGAAGTTTGATGAAATCGACTAGGAAACTCGTGAGTCTTCTGAATCGATTCGGTTGTTTTTCAGGTGTCACCAAATCGCACATCGTCAATCCAACTTTCTGTCAGAATTATCGACTATGAATGCTTTCCTGAACACAATATTTTCGATTTTTTCATGAAATTTCATGAAATTAATCAGCTTACATGCACTGATATATGATTACAAGTGGAATAGTCTTTTTGTGCAGTTCTGGATCATGACCACTGTCTGCCGACAACGGGAGCGTTAACAAGCTCTGCTCGGAGACGTTGAGGATGTAGCGGATGAAGTTGGAGAAAATTGATTGTGCGACTTCAGCCTGAAAATTAAGAATCTTAAAATGAAATGGAAGGAAGAACTTACATCTGGATTTAAAATGCTGTCAGCTGTTAGTCCGAGTCCCAGCTTTTGTTGCAGAACTTTGGCGATCAACCGAGTGTCATACTGGATTAGTATGACGGATTTAGCGTTCGACATATTTATTAAAGTGTTAAACACTCATAAAAGAGCGAATTCGGTGATAAAACGTGGGGAAAGGCTCCGAAAATGATGGCTGACTCGAACGAGTTACTTGGCCTGTTTTGAATTCTCCACCGAGCGCGCCAAAACAGCGGGTGGTTGCTAGGCCACGCACCAGTTCGGCCACGCAGATTTTCAGCAAAAACGCGCGTTTACGGCTGAAAAATATGTTTCTAAGCACCGATATCGAATGTTTTCAGCATGAAAAACGATGGAAAAGGCAACATGTAGATTTCCAAATTGGGTTTCTACGAAAATTGTCGATTTTTATGCAGAACAGGTAGACTGGGAAGAGATGATAGCGCTTGAAGTCAAGAGAATTTCATTTTTCAGGGTATAAACTATTTGTTCGACTGGCAACTGGATGTACTAACAGAAGCAAACGAGTCTACCAATCAACACCTAATATTCAGCGCACCAACTAGCGCAGGAAAGAGTATAGTAGCTGAGCTTCTAGGTTACCGTACCCCATGGACTTAAAATGACAATGCGTTGTTTTTTTCAGCATGGAAGGTTGCTTCAACAGGAAAGAAGGTCTTATTCGTACTACCATACATCTCCGTCGCACGAGAAAAACTTCATCAAATCCAAAGGTGTTGGAGGAGAGATGACATCGCTGTTTGTGGATTCATTGGTCCCCAGGCGTCAAATCCAAACGAATGGATTGGAGCTGTTTGCACAATTGAAAAAGCTGCTAGTCTGACAAATCGAGCACTTTCTGAGGAATGGTTTAATGAAATTGGAATGATGGTTGTGGATGAGATGCATATGGTTTTTGACTCCTCAAGAGGAGCCCATATCGAACACATGCTCTCGAAAGTTCTTTTATGGAATTCAATGAATTCTGAAGAGAAAATTCGAATTATTGGAATGAGCGCTACGATTCCTGAGTTGAACCGACTGGGAGAATGGTTAGAAAGCGGAAAAGTTTGTGAAGCTAATTTTCGGCCAATCAGATTGAATAATCATATAATAATTGGATCGGAAATGAAAAGGATTGGTTCTGAAGAGAGTGTTCGTGAATTTTCGGAAGATCCATTAATCACTCTAGCCAAGGAAAGCTTCCTTGAGAACCAACAAACTCTAATAATGATTTCTTCGAAGTTGGAAGCCGAGAAGACCGCGCTAAACATTGCTAACCATTTCCATGAGCTCAAATTGCTGGATGATTCTATGATGGAGCGATTGAGAGAACGCGCCGATGGACTGTTATTCATCAAGAATGGCCTAGAAAGACATGGATGCAAAGATCGGAATGTGATGTCTGCATTAGCATGGGGAGTTGCTTTTCATCATGCTGGATTGACGATGGAAGAGAGAGAATGCATTGAAATGGGATTTCGAGAGAAGAGCATTATCATTTTGGTTGCAACGAGCACATTGGCTTCAGGTGAGAGCTACAGAAGCACTTTCCATCTTTTCTGAATCTGAGAATTTTAAAATTGAGTATTCTGGAGAGCCTGTTGCGTCTTCTGAAACGCAAAAAGTTAACAATAACCATTAGCCACGTCTTCTGGAAATCCAAAAGTCAAAATTATAAAATTCGAAAATTCGGAATAAAATTTGACGTCGTCTGAAACTCGAAAATCTAGAATTCCAATCCTTGGGGACGTCTTCTGGAAAAAATCTAGAATTCCAATCCTTGGGGACGTCTTCTGAAAATCCAGACCTCAAAATCGCAAACATAAAAAATTTTGAATCAAATTTAACGTCTTCTGAAACTGGAGAGTCACGTCTTCTGAATCGCAAAAAAAGTTTCAAAATTCGATCAAACATTTGCAACGTCTTCTGAAAATCCAGAAGTCCAAATTGAAGAAATTCTGAATCCAATTTTACGTCATCTGACCCTTAAAAAATCTAGAATCCGTATTCTCGGGATTCTGAAGCACCTGATAGGTCTTCTGAAATTCGGAGTGTAAAAATTAAGGATTCTGAAGTTTCTGAAGCGAATTTGACGTCTTCTAACAGTTAAGAACATCGATCACTCGAATTCTTGGTATCCCGAAGCACCCTAATGTCATCTGAAGTTCTGAATGATGTGAAAATTGAGGTTTCAGAAAATTCTGCAGCGAATTTGATGTCTTCTGAATTGTCTGAATCTTAAAAATCGAAATTACCGTAAACCCTTTAATTGAAGCCCTCCCCCCTAACCTAACTTTCAACTTCAATCTCAATTATCTTAATTTCTGTCAAAGATATAGTGAAGTTGTTGACTGATAAATGTTTATCAGAGTATCAGTAGTGTTTTGTCAATTGACAATACTTCGATATCTTTCACAGGAATCTAGATAACTAAGCTCAAATTTTACAGTTTGGGTAAGATTCTATTAAAGAAAATACTGTACTTTGTTTCGAACTCAAGGAATCAGTTTCAAATCAACATTTGATAATCGAACAATATCTAAACCTTTTCCAGGCGTCAATCTCCCCGCCGAACGAGTAATCATCAAAGCCCAAACGCGCGGACCATCGGCTCTCACCTCTTTAAGTTATCGCCAGATGGTCGGAAGAGCCGGCCGAACCGGACACGCTACACGAGGCGAGTTTTTGCCGCACTTCCCTAATAGGGCGGTACTTGACACTACTATTCGCCGCACCGACATAGTTTCCTCATTAGTATTATATCATTTATTTTTATTTACAATTAAAACATTTTAAGTGGAACTGCAATATTATTTTACATGGAATTAGTGTAATCATGGTACAATTTCAAGGAATTCGATGAGGAAATCGAAGGAATCATTTGGGCATTCTGGAAGTGGACTTGTTGGGAGACTAGGGGTGTATCGAAATTCAGAGTCTGATGGGTTTGAATGGGTGCTTCAGGGAGTCTTGGTGTCTTGTACTCCGATTTGACCGGACGAGGTGGTTCATCATCCTCACTATCCGACATATCACATTTCTCGACACTCTCCAAGTGTGCAGCAGCTTCCATGCTCTTTTTGTGCATTCCTGAGAAATAAGGGCAGATGTAAGGGGTGTTGCGTAGGATATTACGGTTTGCACCTATTAGAGGGGGGTGTGGAAGTCATTAATATCTGGGAAGGTGTGTTGTTACTAATTAATAGGGAGTAATATGTTCCGTAGGCAGATTTCTTGATTTTTCAATTAAAGCTTCTACAGTACCCGCCAATAAGATGTATAAATATCTCATTTTCAGTAGACTTTCAGCTGCGCGTCACTTCGAAACCAGTCATTTCGAAACCGTAGTAATACAGGCTGATGGATAAATTTCCGACTGAAAAAACAATTTCTGGGTTTTCAAATATGCTTTTTCTGATAGAACACAATCTGAAAATCGAAAAATTCATCATTTTTTCTTCTTCTGAGAACATCAAATTTTGAATTTTTTCGATTTTCATAATATGTTCTATCAGGAAAAGCATATTTGAAAATCCAAAAATTTCGCCTGCCTTACCTCGGTTTCGAAATGACTGGTTTCGAAGTAACGAGAAGCCTGAAAATTGCCAAGATGGCCGAAAATCAACTGGAAATTACGTTTTTGTATATCTCATTGACCGACACTGTATATCCTTGACCTACCTAACAACCATGGCGCCGCACTCTGCTGTGGATCCGCTGTCTCTGCTGACTTTGTAATCGTTTCTGGAAGCGGAAGCGAGTGTCGAACCATGGCTCCGTACAACCCATACTCGGCCATTATCGTACTCTTTCCCCACGTCTTCTCGGTTTTTCGCCACTTGGCACGTCTGTTTTGGAACCATACCTGAAATGGAATTGTGTTGTGATGAGCCTAACCCAGCCTAATCTGGCCTAGTCTGTATTAGGTTTCCGTGAGAACCCTGTTTAAAGGTTCTTGGATTACACATACACTAGTCAATTGTCAATTGGCCGTGTATGTCTTCTTTAAACGGAAGGAATTCCTAGAAATTCAATTGACACTTCGATGTCCTTCCTTAAAAAGGGGCCCTTTTGAGAAAGGAATTTTGCCCTCTAACTTTTCAAAGAAGAAGAGCAAAATGCGAAATTAGCACCAATAAAAGGGGGACTCCGAAACAAATAAAAAGAAGAAGGCAACAATTCGCTAATTGGTATCCCCAAATGAAGACATTAAAAAAAACTAACCTGAATCCGATCCTCTTGAAGTTCAGTCTTCCCAGCAAGCACTTCACGAGCATAGACATCCGGATAGTGAGCCTCTTGGAACGCCTTCTCGAGTTCATCAATTTGATATTGGGAGAAGATTGTGCGATGTCTTCGCTTCTTCCGTTTGCTAGCTTTTCCACCTCCAGAAGACGTGGAAGTAGCACAGGCTCCAGATGAAGATGTAGAAGTTGTGGAGCTCACTTGGGTTTGTGGCTCCACATTGAGCACGACGTCATTGGTAGAAGTAGGCATACGGTACATCAATGGAGCAGAACTTGCTGACACATTTCCAAGTCCATCGGTTCCACAGAGAGGTCTGCTGTCGAATCCGGAGACCCCGCAAGTGCTAATATCCATGAAATTCGGTTGGTTTGGGAAGAACGTTCCCTGTGGACAGTAGCCATGGGATAGGTAGGCGTTGCCCTAGAAAATTACCTTTGGAATCTACTAATTTTGAAAAAGAGAGGATACCTGAATTCCAAGAATTTCATGTATCGCAAAGCTCATTCTCTGCGAGTTGCTCATCTGATTGCTCATCTGCATTGATGCGGCCAACTGCATATCATCAACGGCCATGGTCATTTTTTAGTGGCCTATGGAAATAAGATAAAAAATTACCCAAAGTGGAAAATTGGTAGACACACGAAGGGGCCTTATTTGGAAAAAAGGAGAAGGAGGAGAGAAGACAAAATGATCCAATTTCCGACGAATGGAAACGAGCCACGCCCCTTTGGGATGACTCCTTGAGAAGAGGAAGAAGAAGAGGAAGAAGAAGAAGACCTCCTACAGTAGTTAGGGGGCGGAGCTTGTTATAGCAGAATATTTGAAGTGTTTTGCAAATGGGAGAGGGGAAATTGGAAATTGATAATTAGAGAAAAACAGGAAGTTCGATATTTTCAGGAGAAAGTTTTCTGATTGTCAAGAAATGCGACGAGACGGCGGTTCACAAAATCCTGAATACCCCTATCGATCAATTGATCAAAGTGAGGAATCGGGAGACTGATCGAACCACATTGAGCAGATTCGTTTTGGAGGTAATTCGAATTTTATCAATTCTGAGCCCTCTAATAGAAGAGCCCACCAAACCGTCGACTTTGAGCTCAATTATCTCGATTCCTGGAAAAGATGTCTAAAAATTGTTGACTGATAAATTGTTTATCATATTATCACGGATATTTTATCAGTTGATACATTTTTGATATCTTGTAAAGGAGCCGAGATAAATGAGCTCAAAGTTGACGCCGTCAACTTGACAGCTTCTATTATAAGGAATACTTTGAGATGCAGAAAATTATTTTTTTTCCAATTTTGAAGGATCCAAGTAATCTAAAAAATCTGTGCAATCCAAAAAAATGTATTTTTCAGGGAATCTGCACTGGCCTCACCACATCGCGAACCCAAATCCATCAGCTCTGCTCCTTGCTCCTCTTCAACTCTAACACCACATCAGAATCCGACAATTCTATCGAAATGCTACTCCAAAACTCGTTCATCTCACTAGAAGACGACCTATTCAGTCCAACGCAACTCGGAAGAGCCGCCATCGCATCGTCTCTACCTCCAGAAGCCTCTCTGGCCATCTTCGAAGATTTGAATTCGGCGAGTCGAGCGATCGCAGTGGACACAGAGCTCCATATGCTTTATTTAGTGACCCCGATTAATGTGACAGTTTGGCAAGAATGCGATTGGCATCATTTGTTTTCTCTCTTCTCGAAACTACCGTCTGATCATCGGAGGGTGGCGAAAATGGTTGGAGCAAGTGAGAAGTTTATTTTGGAGCAACTACAAGGGAAACGGAATCAGAAGGCGCTTCAGGTTCACATCAGATTCTTCTCAGCTCTGGCGTTGTTTGATTTGATCAATGAAATGAGTATATATCAGGTGAACCATTTATTTGGGACCATTCATTTAGAAAATCATGAATCCAGGTCTCCAACAAGTACCGTATTCCACGTGGCTGCCTTCAAACTCTTCAATCGCAAAGCGCCACTTACGCAGGTTTGTTGTATCCATCGAAATGTAGGCGTCATGTGGGTCAATCATTAATGACTACTGCCTCTGATTGCCCACATTTATCTGCTCTCTTCTCACTGATTAGCTTCTGTTTTGCAGCGATGATTGTGGCGTTCTGTCTGCGTCTGGGATGGACATATTTGAAGGCGTTACTTGATGGATTCGCAATGAGATTGCTTTTTGGAATTCGCTCGGATCTATCGGAGCTTGTCACGATTGAGGGGATTGATGGTCAGAGGTGGGAAAGAATCTGAAAATATCCATCGAATTTCCAGAAATCGAAAGTTTAAATTTTCTGAAATTGGGCAACATTTTCGGAAATCGAAAAGTTACGGTTTCCGTTTTTATGTCCTTTTCAAACCATTAGGATCCTCTCATGGATACGGTAGCTACAGTAATCTTTTTCACATAATATCACGTTTCAGAATATTTGAATCTATCGTAATCCAAATTCTGAAAAATTAGATTAAATTTTGAAAATGTTTTGTAACCTTGATAAAAATTTCCAAGATGTAAATTTCCTGAAATTGGGAAAAATATGCTGTAATCGAAAAATTTACAATTTCTTCTTTTTTCATTTCAGGCCCACAATTCAGGTTCTTACAGGGATACGGTAGCTACAGTAATATTTTTCAAATCAATTTTCCAAATTTTCGAAAATTTAACGAACGTCTACCGTGGTCCATTGAATTCAAAACATTAGATTACGGTAGTTATGGAGACATGAACAGACCAAGCTCAATTTAACAATAAAATATTGACTTTTAACTTGAAAATTGAACCTAAAAATGAACTTTTTAAACCTAAAAAATCAAAATTTTGAACTAACAAAATCGCCATTCCGAATCTGAAAATAACAATTTTCATCAAAAAATTATCATCCTGGTTCAAAAAATCGGGTCTATGGAAGGGAAACGTCGGTGGCCGTGGCCGAAGACCCCACAACAAGGACTACAGTAACCTAAAAATATTTTTATTTCCCGAATTTATTTTATCTCGATTTTCGTGCATTTTCAGTCAATCTTTTTATTGTCAAATTTTTTTATTTTCCGACTGGAAAAGCAGTGAAAACGAGAAAAAAATAGAGAAAATACATATTCATATTTTAAGGTTACTGTAGTTGTCGTTGTGGGACCTTGGGCGGTTATTGTATCAGAATAACAGTCGATTACTTCTTAAAACTCTAAAATTGCTTTTCCAGAGCCCGAATCCTTCACGAACGAGGAATCACTTGTCTATCGCATCTGTCTGCTTGCGAATCCTCAAAACTTGCACACTTTATAACACTGGCGGTCCCGTATTCAAGGTAGGAAAGAATCTTCTCGAGTGGGGGAGTACTGTAACCACATCCTCCTCTTCTTCCTCTTCTTCCTCAACATCGTCGTTTTCCTCTTCTCATCGATGGTTGTCATCACAAATTGAGCTAATTTAAAGAAGGCACTGCATCGTTTTGTGTTGATTAGGCCAACGAAAATGATGATGATGAAGACACGACGACAAACAAGGGGTTTTCTTTTTGACTACTTATTCTCAATGCTCCGAAATTCTGACCTCGAGAGAATCGAGAAGAGGGGGAAAATGCGCCAAAAATGAGACAATTGAGTGGGGAAGACAGAAACAATATGTGATCGAATGGATAATTGGAGGAAATGAGGGAGACAACACCTTATTCTCCTTTTCAATTGAATTGTATAGGCGATTAGTGAGAAAACAGTTTAACTCCTACATATAGAATAATTGGATTTTGTTGATAGCGCAAAAAAACCTTGGAATTTTCAAGAAAATTAGGAATGTGTAAGATACAGTACCCCTGGGGTGTTAGGAAGGGGATTCCGAAACTTCCGAAGCTTTTTCTGAAGTTACAGCTTTTTGGATTACGGTAAATGTTCCAAAACATTGAAATATGAAAATCGAAAAATTCCGAAAATTTTGGAAAAACCGGAATTTTCGACATTCCGGAAAATTTTGAAATTCTAAAATTCCGCATTTTTCAAAATTTTGAAAATCGAAAAATTCTGAAGTTCTGAAGTTTCCAGAATCGGAATATTCTGGATTTACTGAAATTGGAATATTCCGAAATTCCTAAAAATTCAAAAATTTCGAAGTCGAAATATTCTGAAATTCCGAAATTTTTAATATCCTGATATTCCGAAGTTTCGAAATTTCAAAAAAATTCCGAAAAACCATTTCGAACACCCCCAGACCTTCTACAGTACCCCCACCCTACAGCTGTCAATAAGTCAATTATCGTACCTATGCAATCACTAAAACTGACTCTAATTAATCATTAGCCCCCGTGAGAAAATTAGGAAATCATCTGCACGCACCCCTTCTCACCCTATATAGAGCCTATATAAGCAACATGTGTCCCCTCCCGGATGGTGTCCAGTTATTGTTACGTCACTTGACAGTTCATACCCCCATCCATCCTTGTTTTCTTTTGTCAACCAATTATGACGCCATTCAGTCAAAATATCGAGACCCTTCTAAATTTCTTTTTTCCAGGTCAAATTCAAACGACGGGCTTGGCGAATGGCTGTTCGGAGAACCACGTATGAAGCTGGCACATGCTGCGAGGGTTCTAAAGGAAAGGGCTCAGAAGGCGCTGATGAGAAGGATTCAGGAGTTAGGGATTGCCGTGGTGTTGCCGAAAGAAAAAGGCGTCAAGGAAGAGGAGAATATCCCAGAAAGTTGTGACAGTGGACTTCCGGATAGTTGCCCCGAAAATGATGGATTTGAGGAAATGACTAGAAGTGTGACGGAGATGTCGATTTCTGATGATGATTATTTCAAGGAAGAAAAACTAGAAGTAGAAGAAAAAGAAGGAGACGTTTTCGAGGAAGAAGTGGTTGAAGACACAATGATAGAGGACCTAGAAACATCGCTTCTGAAAATGAAGCCACCGAAAGATGAGGTCTTTTTGAGAAGGCTTTCAAATACATTTTCACCAGCCGGCAAGCGATGTAGCCTCAATGGATCATCGTTTCTAGAAGATTCCTTTGATAAACCGGTGCCGGGATCCATCCCGCTTACATTCAAAACTCCGAAGCGAGACTTGGAGGGTCCGAAAACCTCAACTCCTCAATTCGAAGACTCATTCGATAAACCAGTTCCTGGATCAATCCCCTTTGGCTCTTCCAAACGGAAATCTCTGTTGAATTCTTCTAGAAGAGATTCCATAGAGTCTAATGCATCCGAAAACAAATCATTCGACGTCTTCGCCACTCCACCAACCAGAAACTCTAAAATTATAGGCAAACACTCTCGAGTGGTGGATCTTGTAAGTTACCGTAAAACCTGTATTAGAAGGGCCCCTTAAATTTGAGCCAATTTTTCTCAATTCCTATGAAAAGTATTCAAAATGTGTCAAATGACAATATGCTTGTGATATATTGATAAGCAATTCATCAGTTGACACGTTTTTGATATTTTGTATAGGAGCCAAGAATAAGTAGCTCGAGAGAGCCCTTCTATTACAGGTTTAACGGTATTCAAAATCATTAAATTCTGATTCCAGGCTGAGTCTCCATTATGCTCACCAATCGTCAAACATCCGAAGATCGCACCACTCCTTCGAGTTGAGGACATTTTCAGTTCTCAAAATTCGTGGTCTCGTTGGATGAAGTCTTCTGTTAAGAGCTCTTTTTGCTCTATCAGTTTAGCGGGTTCAGAAGGCATCGTCATCCAAACGGACACCGGAATCGCATTCATCCCTCTCCAAGAGCAATTTAATGGGATAGAAAGTCCAAGTCCTAAATTCTTCGACCCCCTTTCCACGTGTCATGTCCCTTTAAAATCTCGATTAGATTGCCTCAAAATTTTCTTCGAATCTCAACACGTAGTTCATGTTCTGACGATGAACAACGCCTTCAGGCTATTCGAGGAATATAAGATAAAGGTACGTTTGAAGAAGTTGCCGCCTATAATAAGAATCTTCCAGTTATCAAATGTGAGAGTACTACGTGTAGCTGCCCATCTCAACCATCTCATTGAATCTGAAATTGAGGATAATGGAGAGATGTTTCCAATGCTACTGGATCGAATTCCTCCTCTTCTGGATCCAGAAATTCAGTATTCGACGTTCGGTAGAATACACAAATCAATGGTGGAGGTGTTCGAAATGCAACGGATTTTCAATGAGCTCAAAAAGTCAGCAATCAAGCGTTTCACTTCTGAAAAAAGTTTCGATCTGGAAATGGACACTTGCCAGGCTGTTCTGAAAATGTTCTATTCTGGAATCTCATTTGACCGCGTGGCATGCAAACAGTTTATAGGTGACACTAGAAAACGAATAGAGATCCTGGAGGAGCAAATCTGGAGACTTGCACATGGAAAATTTAATATCAACTCGTCCAACGAAGCTTCTAATGTTCTCTTCCATCGCCTCGGATTGGTTTATCCAGAAACTTCCAGTTGTAAAATTAAGCAGAGACACCTGCCAACGAATAAGCAGATTCTGAATCAGATGATCGGTCAACATCAGATTGTGGAGAAGATTCTGACGTATCGACATATCCAACACACCCTGACTCAGTGCTTGCTGCCGCTGGCAAATTATGAGAAACGCATTCATTGTCGCATGGAAATGTGCACAGCTACTGGAAGAATGTTGACCAGTAGCCCTAATCTACAGGTGTTTTTTGGAAACTGTAGTTATTAGGTCCCACAACGACAATTACAGTAACCTAAAATGTTTTCATTATCCGGATTTATTTTCGTCGATTTTTCTGTAATTTTTGGCTGTCTAGCTATTTTCAAAGACTCTTTTTCGATTTTTCGGGTTTTTTCGTCTGAAATTTGATGGAACGGTATTCGAGAAGATTACTGTAGCTTACTGTAGAATTTGTCTGCATTCTGACGTGAATGTATTTGCAAAATGAACTACAAACTATAAGCTACAGTAACCTACAGTAATCTTTGCGAACACCATCCCGTGAAATTTCAGACGAAAAATTCGAAAAAATCAAAAAAGAATTATCAAAAATAGATGAAAAAAACTGAAAAATCTGAAAATTTTGCAAAAATGGGTGGAAAAAAAATCAATTACATATTTTAGGTTACTGTAGTTGTCGCCGTGGACCTTCGATCATGGTCACTTTTATCAGAATAATGCAAAACCTTTCTTATTTCAGAATGTCCCTAAGAAAGTGTCTTCCGATGGTCTATCGGCTCGTCAACTATTCAAAGCATCGCCTGGAAATATTCTAATCGGAGCAGACTACAAACAACTCGAGTTACGAGTTCTCGCTCATCTATGTAACGATTCGAAGCTAGTGAAAATCATATCAGAAGATCAAGATCTATTCGGACAATTGTCTTCAGAATGGGGATTTTCTCGCGACGTCGTCAAGCAGTTGTCCTACGGTCTTATCTATGGAATGGGTGCGAAGACGTTGGCGGAGTTGACACGTATCAAATTGGAGGAGGCCGAGAAAATGCTTGTTTCGTTTTTCGCCATGTTTCCAGGTTAGATTTTTTATACATCATGATAGAATCTGGATCCTTAAATTGCAGGAGTACGATCCTATATAAACGCAGTCAAGGTTAAAATAACCAAGGAAGAGCCAATAGAGACTATAATGGGACGGAAGAAGTTTATCAAGCTGGGACTTACTGGAGAAGAAAAAGCGAGAATGGAGAGAGTGGCTGTGAATTATACGGTTCAGGGAAGTGCCAGTGAGATATTCAAAACGGCGATGGTGGAGATTCAGGACAAGATTAGAGGTAGCTTTTCAACTGGAAAAAATGAAATATCGGATCTGAAATTTTCAAATTTGAACCTAAAACTGTCAACGAACAGGATACTTTCGAAATTCCGAATCTAAAAATGATAATCAACTAAAATTGTTATTCCGGTACAAAAAATTGGCTCTGTGGAATCAGATGATCCAAGGTCAGGTGATCCAAAAAAAATAGGTTACGGTAGTTGTCGTTGTGGGACCTTCAACCACTCTGAAATTCTAAAGTTCAGAAATTCTAAAAATTCTCAAAATTCTAAAATTTTTAATTCTAAAATTCTAAATTTCTGAACTTCTGAAATTCTAAAAATCTGAAATTCTAGAATTCTAAAATTCAAAATTCCTAAAAATCAAGTTTTTTTTTTCAGCCCACAACGAAGTTGAAATCGTCCTCACAATCCATGATGAAGTGCTTGTTGAGTGTCCAGAACATCAAAAATCCGAAATTTCTACCGTAATCCAAGATTGTATGCAATCGGCACTTTCGAATTTGTTACGGGTTCCAATGAAGATATCTTTGAAAACGGGTCGATCGTGGGCGGATTTGAAATGATCTTTAATTGTTAATTTTCGGTGTGCAATGAAATAAAGTTTATTGGTCTCAAAACTATTTTTTTATATCACAGTAATCCTTTTTGTACTCAAAGTTGCCGTGTACCTGAATATTTTCAGCCTAACAACATCTTCTAAAAAACAATTTCCAGATGAAATTCTGCATTCGAAACTTTATTTGTGAGCACAGCCAAGAGATTCCGGGCCCTATGGATAACTATTTCAACTACAAAAAAGGCCGAATTCCAGTATTTCATATTTACGGAGTAACGGATTCTGGCCAGAAGGCGTGCCTTCATATTCACGGAGTTCTCCCATATCTGGTCCTTCGAGCTGGTGGAAAAGTGACCCCAATTGTTTTACAAGGAATGAGAGCTAAAATCAATAAGGGAATTGAAAAGGAGATTGAGACGAGTACTGGCAAAGCGAGCAAATTTTCTGCGGATTATGTGTACAAATTGGAGACGTTTAGTAGTCGGTAAGAGAGCTGAAAAAAGAAAAAAGGAATTGCATCGACCGGGAATCGAACCCGGGCCGCCCGCGTGGCAGGCGAGCATTCTACCACTGAACCACCGATGCGCATTTTCTCTATGAACAACTTTTTGGTTTTCTCCATGTTTTCTCT